CGTCCCCCGACCTGTAAGTGGGGACCGGTATACACCGTCCGATCGGAAGTTGTACGGTTATAAAACAGCTTTTAGTCGAAAAAGAAATCATTTGTTTCCTTGGCAAATGCGGGACAGCCTTGGAAATCCGAAAAATCGCGCGAAACTTGTCAAGCTGCTGATCGATGCCGATCCCAATTCTAGATGGTATGTCTGCTACTAGTACTCCGTACTTCGTAGTGTATTGTATTGATATTTTACTACTTTTTACTATTATAGCTCGATTTGCCTGTCCGATATTTTATTCATTTATTTCCAAATCAAACAATTCCCAAGTCTCTGGCAGAGGTGAAGGATCACATCAAATCAGATAAAGGCAAGTGGGTCCTGCATGGATCAGATAACTCGAAATTTTTTATCTGATCGACTTAGGTTGAGACTTGCTTTTTCCCTTTCCTCTTTTCGTATTCATATTACTCAAGATTTATTTTTCCAATTGCATTGGGCTTGGCGGTAACTTCTCTTCTCTCCGTACAATCGTAAAATGTACAATTTATATTGTACAATTCATGCGAGTTCCCAATTTTGTACTTAGTAAAAGTGGCTTGCTAGAGCAAGCTCCGTCACCTGCCTAGTCAAGTCCTTGGCGAGATGGGGCCTGCATACGCACTGTTATGATTGGTATTTCGTAAATTTGTAAATTTGCAAATCTTAAACCTGTAGTCCGTAATTTTATTCGGAAACCGCGCTTTCATATGTACATATGTATCGTACGATGGACAATATAAAATATAATTATAGTACAGGTTGATCCTGCATCTTTCTCTTGAAGAAAGTGCCTAAATTGTCTAATTCGTATGAATATACTGTATTCTGCCAAAGTCCCGTAGCATCCATGCATATGTCTCGTGTTTGTCTCCATAGGTCCATAGGCTGGGCCGGTACCCGAGATCTTTTCGGCGATATCGGATGTCTCCAGAGTGGAAACTTTCACAGACGTAGTACTGCGCATATATCTCATGTCTCCCTGGTCCTGTCCCTACCGAGGTAGATTACAGGTTAAGTTTCTGTGATTCGGATCTGTTTCCGGCTCCATTGTTGAAAGCCGTTGAATAGACCCTATATCATGTACTAGCATTGTATCTATTGCCTATTCTGTAAATGTCTAGGCAAGTTTAGGGAGATGACAGCCCTAGCACAGTGTGCAGTACTTTGTGTGATCAGCCAAGAATTGTTGGCAACGTAATAATCGTTGACCGCTATATTATTGGAAAGTTCGTGACCATCGACATCAGGCCACACTGGACCCTCGGCGATCGAACGTTCCTTTTCCCTGAAAGGCTGCAGCCCGGCAACCAAGGTTGCGCATCCGGCGGAGTCACTACTGCCGTAATCCCGTGCCAGGATCGCCAGCTGCAGAAGTAGTCTGCGCTGGCATATGCACCTCTGGAGCTCCCATGCAGGTACGTCTTATGCTCGCGTAATGCGTAATGTAAAGCGTAACCCGGTCAATACATATGTGCCTAGACCTAGACTCAGCTGGATGCACCAATCGGCCCTTTCGGAAGGGATGGGAATGCACTTCCCAGGTAGGTATATTTCCAGAAACGCCGAGGGAAGGTCGGTACTCGGCCCTTATGCAGGGTGTTGATGGTTAGCTGCAGGGTAACTGCATGGCCAACGTAAACGATCTACCTTATCTGATGCGATGTGAAACTGCGGAGAGGGATTCGAGGTTAAAGACCTTGGAGGGTGACAGGGTTGTCATATATACCCGATAGCCACTAGAGTCAAGAATGACTTTCTTGTTCCTGTTGCTGCGCAAGAGCCAAGTCATCTCCCATAATAGTATAGTAAAATAAATCATTAATGTCTGACGTCAACTGTACAGGATCCTTTCTAAATGCAGACATTGCTCGTGCCACGTGCCCCAATAATGCAACACCGCGCTGATTTGCATAATAAAACACAGAGTAGAAGGATATCAATGCAGGATCTGGAAAAACAAATGCAAATACGCTCAGATCTTCAGCTTACACCATGCGTTCGGGTTCCTCGCCAGCAACACTGCGGTAACCAGGTCCCTCGCCAGACTGGCTGCCAGTGTGCATGCGCATTGGGGTCTCGTACATATCGTGATAGTTGACCACCTCGCCGTCGAGCATCGCCGCCCCAGTCTGGCGCTTGCCAAATAGCGGAGCCGGGTCACACCAAAAGTCGCGGCAGTTGGTGACAACACCGCGGGAGAAGGGGTTTCGGGGGCGAGCCGCCTGGGGTCCGTCGCGGAGACCATCCTTGGCGGTTGTCCAAAAAGCGTCGATTCCGAGGAGGGATGACCATTGTTGGATGCAGCCGTTTTTCCGTCGGTGTGGGGGAGGGCCGCGGAGGGCCGGGTTGGGTCCTTGTCCGGAAGCCGAAAGACCAGCAGCTTCCATTGACGTGGTTCCAGCGGTCATGGCCGATGCAAAGGCTTGGGAGCTTGGATAGGACCGGTCGATGTGGTGGCCTCGCATGTTCTCGTAGGTTGTCTGGTTGCGAGAGATCTGAACGAGCTGGACGGCACACAGCATCGTGACCCAAACCAGCTGTAGAGTGATCCACACATTAAGAATCAGCGTGAAGGAGTCACGGGAGGCATAGTCACACAATGTGTCGTTGATGACATTGCAGGTGGCATTGGTAGGAGCAGGTAGAGAATTGATATCTGCATCCTGTTAGTTGACTTATCCTACAATTTCCCGCGGCGCCAGTACTCACAGGCAATAGTCAGCTGCACAAAGAGAATGATGCCAACTTCAAGGGAGACTATATAAAGAACAAAATGGCGGAGATTGTTCGATCCAACGCAGTTATCAATCCACGGACAATGGCTATTTGAGCGTTAGTGGTTGGATCAATACGAATTTCGTCAAGGTACATACTGATCGTGTTTTGCAACGCAGCGACCACAACGCCGACAGTGCCTGCTCCGGAGGGGCTTTCTTGTCATACAGGGGATGCAGAAATTCTCTTCGTCGAACTTCCACTGGTCGAACAGTTCCTTAACAATCTCTCTCTGCTGATTCCTGCTGCTCACTTTCGGGACATAACCGGGGTCCTGGACCATGGAAAAGACGTAGAAATAAGCAGTCGAGCAAAAGAAGACCGCGAACAAGATGTTCAGAATCGGCGACGATGAGTAAGTTGCTGGCAGCACCTTGAAAGCATAGCGGAAGCCAACCCAAAACAACGTGCCCGCAAAGACACCAGCTAGATACGGTGTTTTCTGCAGAACGCGATATTCCATAGGCCCCTTGTTCGCAAATTGCTGTGCAACATACTGCATCCCGAAAACTGTCACTAACACGAGAGGCACCGCAACGAAAATCGACAGGTTACTGAGCATCCAGATGGCAACCAGGATAATCAAGAAAGGCCAGAGGAAGAAGAACTTGGCCATGATGCTCTTGTTGCGTACGAAGCTTGAAAGGCCCAGAGGCACCACTTTTTGGGTGCCATCAGGCTCAAAGCCGCGCTCGTTGAGCGAGCGGTACCAAACCCGCAGGGTGTTCATCTCCTGAGCCACGGTCGCAGGCGATTTTCCATCGCGGGTCTTCGCGAAGCGGTCGGCGCCGTATTCAAGCAACTTCAGGACGCAGGGCATCGAACCCTTGACCAGCGCCCAATGAAGCGGCGTCAAGCCACCTTCGTCCACGGCGTTTGCGTTGGCACCCCATCGCAGGAACAAGTCCACACATGCAGGATACCCCTTGTATGCGGCCCACATCAGTCCAGTATGCCCTTGTTGGTCAACAACGTCAACAGGGATCTCCTGGTGTAAAAGCAGCACGACTAGGAAAGCGTTGCCATCGATGGTCGCAAGGTGTAGGATGTTGTATCCTTGGACGTCAGTCAGAAGAGGATCCCCTCCATTCTGGAGCAGTAGGTTCACAACATAATAATGACACCGTTGGGCAGCCCACATGGCTGGTGTTGCCACCGACTCTCCTCCTTTGGCGTTGACGTCGGCTCCGGAATCAAGCAGGAATCTACACATCGCATATTGATTATTGATTGCCGCCCACTAGAAAGAGAGAATGCGGTCAGTAACAGGTCCCTTGTTATATGTTGCACTGGGTTGTAACGAACATGCAACGGTGTAATCCCCTCCTCATCGCGGTGGTTTGCGGTAAACTTTTTGGCCGTGAACAGTTTCTGCATAGTGCCAATCTCCCCCATCCGAGCCAACTGCATAATATCCTCCCCCAGAGGAATTGAGCCTTTGGGGGGATCAGGGCGCAAGCTCTTCATCTCCACATCCTTCGGAGTGGACGACCCGTTGGCATTCGAGGCGGAGGTGGAACCGGAGGTCTGACCAGGGTTAGGATCCCCGGATTCTGGAGAGGTTTTGGCAGACATTTGGGGGTTGCCAACTGTTGGATATGTATCGAATGCCACTCGGGGGCTGGAAAGGAGACTCGATTCGAGGACTGGACTGTTTTTGGACGGTAGTCTAAAGGAACATCGCGATTCCGTCGCCGGTGCATCCACTTGGAAATATTTTCAAGCGCAACTCGGAAGTGTAAAAGATGGTCAGAGGTAAATGGTAAATGGTAAATAGATAGACAGATTGGTCAAAAGGGTATGTCGAAAAAGGCGGACTCGGATTTGCGGAGACGCTAATAATCGAGAGACACGTAGGTATACACTTATACTGTGCCTTGTATTCTGTGCTCTGTACCCGATGAAGTTGAAATAGTTCAATATATTCTATTTCCTATCCTATTCTAACATGTTGAATTGCTCCTTTTTTTGCCTGATTACTCAGCCACAGGCAGCCGCATTTTGGTCGGCCTCTTTTCCTCGGTTGATCTGCCGATCTTCATATCCTCCAGGGCTCGATATTCTATATAAAGCCATTGTTGACGCTTCTTTCAAACTATTAGACTGTCTCTATATCTATCTCTTACTTTTACACTTAACAGTCTCCGGTTTATATTCTGCATTTATATCATTGACCTATAAAAAAGTTAGAAACCAAATCAAGGATTACCGGCATGCGCACCCAGGCACTTGGATGTGCAATTGGGACCAGGCTCTGAGATGCGATTCATACGAGTCCACATGCCAAAAAGAAGTGCAGCTCTACCGTCATCTGGTCCTTGGGACCCAATCTGCCATCTACGCTCTTCGTCCTTGGCCATGCGATCAAAACCCCGCGCATACTCGTCCTCTTCGCGATGGCCGTCAAGAGTGAGTCGTCCTACCTGCATAGCCAGCATATTGAACATCTTCATAACTGCGAGAGGGAGCTCTCCGTCCTTGATAGTTACCAGCTCAGCAACTTTCACAATAATATCCGAGAGGTTGCAGCACCGGTCCGAAAAACAGCTGCAAGTCAGCTTGTTGGGATCATCTACAAGCTCCGTCCACCCAGAGATTGTGTGGGCTATACGACGAAGCTCGCCTTGGATTTTAGTCACGTCCTGATCTGCGATATCCCCGGCAGAAAGATCCTGGAAATATACGACGAAAAATTCTCGCGAGGCCTGCATAGTCGCTGCGTCCATAGTGATGGTTAGTGCAGGAGATTCTCACTTATGTCAGTGTCGATCAGTGTTGAGGCGTCCGAATAGAAATATTTGGTTGGATAGCTCGAGTCGATGGTGATGTGTTCCAAGACCCTGGGGGATGAGCCTTTTTATATTCGGGCATTCAATTTATGTTGGCTTCTAAAATGAAATCTTCCTTGTCTATGGACGAACAAGGGCTAAAAGATATATATATAAAAGTCCAAAAGGGAGAATCAGATTCTTTCAAAGCCATGTCAATGGTGTTATCTCTTTAATTGGCTTATATCTTAAGAGGACTTGGCTAAAGACGGGATTCATATACTTGCACAATATATTATTTCTATAGCTTCTAAAAGTTGTTCATAATATAGTTGAATAATATCAAAGCCAGAGTATTATATCTGTATAGATAGGTATCACATACAATAGCTATGTTCCCCAAATAGAAATTAGAAATATATTAGACTGTTGCGATCAAAGGATTGAGAAGTTGGAGCTCCACTCTCGGAGCTCCTTGTTTATCAGGTCTCCGCTTCACAACCCCTCGAAACAACAATGGAAGACACTTTGACCGACAAGCTCATATCAATTCTCAAGGAGCGAGATATCCCAGTCAAGCAGGATGTGATTGAGTCTGCATTTGAGGATGACAGGAATGCGCAATGGGCGTCCAAGCATCTCCGCCCTGACACCCTGCTATCAAAAGATGAGCTCGCGTTGTACGTCTCATTGGTACAATCACAAGGCAGAACTAACCGGAGACAGATACCTCAAGCTCGAGAGCTCCGGCGCTCTTCAGCATATTCTCAGCGACCCAGAGCTCGGTGCAACACGGCCTATCCTCGAAGACGAACTCCGTGACGCGATCGAATCCCTCAAAGCCTCAACGGCAGCAATTCAGAAACAGACCGAGACTTTGAAGTTTCAATGTGCAAGCATCAATAAGCAATTGGGTCTGGAAAACAATGTCGAGCAGCAGCGGAACCGGGATATCGCCCGGCTGCATAAGAAACATGAGGCGGGCAGGCAAAATACTACAATGGCGGTAGGGACATGCCCGTCACAACAAGTTGTCGCGTGTTGCTGATTCTGATTCTGTGAAGGCAAGTGAACTTGCCGATGAGTTGGAGGCCGATTTTAGAACCGCAACGGACAAGTCAGGCGCGGAAAGCAAGAGAATACTCGCTTCTCTGTCTACCCGGTTAAAGCAGGACGACAAGGCGCTGGCGAGTCTAGAAACGCTCATCTCCAGTATCAAGTATCGTGGGAATGATGCATCTAAGGTCAAGCGCACAAGCCATCTCAGTGCAATGTTGTCAGACTACGTGGCAGAGGAAATACACCACCGTCTCGATCGACTATACCTGGAAACAATTCACGCAGGCAGCCCAAGCTCCGACGCTATGGATGAGGCAACGAGCACTGCCCTCGAGGAAGAACTAGAGTCTCTGTATCCAGAGATCGAAATCTTGGCAGAAATGTCGACCAGGCAGCAGTTCCATGAGCCTATCCTCCGTGAATTCCAGAATGAGCATGATAAGCTGCGAGTGGCGTCGCAGGAGAAACTAGAACAGGTATGAGGCTCCAGCTCGGTAGTGCCGTTGACCAGCAATGAACTAATCCGTACTTCTTTTTTAGGCACTCGACATGTTGATCGAGATGACTTTGTCAAAGCAAGATCTCACAAACCAACTCGGGGTCCGGGAGTCATCCTCGGAACTGTTAGAACAGCTAGCCGCGTTATATCAATCCGAAGCAGGCAGCGAACTCATCACACAGCCATCGTCCCGACGAGAGTCTCTGCGACGCCGATCGTTACAGCCAGGCCTCCTTCTTGCCACCCGCGCAGTCACTGCGCCTGTAGTTGCCCAACCATCACTCGAAAGACTTTTGAGGCGTGTTGGTGTACCACCAGAATCAATGCTCCACCCGCGTGAGAATGGAGGGGTTGATGACCTCCATGAGAAGCGATATCACATTTCCGAAACACTTAGTAGCCTCAATATAGCGGCGAACGCTCCTCCGGCGACCTATTTGGCACCGTTGGATAATGCATCCCAGCTTCTTCGTTGCTCATTGCACGCCAACTCTCACTATGAAACATCACTGCGCGATCCTTCGGAGGTGTCAGCGCTCTCGGGCCTCGAGAAAGAACTCACGAGTCTTCAAAATGGGGTCCAGAAGGTCAATTTCGATGTTCTCCACCAGCGTGACAGTAATCAGGATAGATTAATTGAGAGGTGGACATAGGAGAATTGTGGCGAAGCTTTGCTGCCCAAGCGCTCTTTTTTTTCATGGCTCTATTGTTTCTATGAATCTACGGTTCGATGCATGAAATTTTGTCTGATCTCACAGTCGAAGATGTCAATGGTTGGCTCTTAATCGCCGTTGGATGTTTTAGCGCCAAAGTGGCACGGCCGCTGATTTGACGCTTTAGCGGTGTGTGGCTGAAGGATTCCTTCACAAGACTCCTGAATAATGTTGCGCAGTGAATACTTCAGGCAGTAACGCCTAGTGCTCAGGGCATTGGATACTATTCTCCGAAAAGTTGGTGTTTGTTGCGCTATAGACAATAACAGGTGCTACGTTGTCGCTTCACATGCTTTTCAAGACGCGCCTCACTTGGGAGCACCCTGCTAATCACACTATATCACTTCTTGATATAACCTCTTTTCCAGAGATGAAACCCCAATATCGCATTTCTGGTGTGATGGAAGAAGTTGAACCTGGGATTTTGTCTTGGTCTTCAAAGCTGACTCGTTGAACTGCGCCGTGGTGACCTCAGGTTTGTATCAGCCATTCCCTTTTTTTGAAAGAGAATATTGAATATCAACATTTAATAACTCATTATAGGTCTCCTCTCTCGAGATGTTGCCTTCAAATCCCTGCTCGTTGTCGAAAGGTCGAATATAAAGTCAAGTCGATATCTCGCCATAAAGCTCTTTGTTTCAATACCACAAACACCTTGCTTTATCGAATGTTCTTTGTTTCAAGCCAAATATACCAACACTTCTCTATCTTTACCCTTTGAAAGGAATCACCTGCTTTGCCATTGTCCACATGTCTTCTTACTTATGCTTTGCCCGGCATCTCGCCCGTGCGGCTGTAATCGAGGTTCGTCGAGTTTCATTGTTTCTTTGTCTCTGTTCCTTCAACAACTCGCTTGTTCAACGGTACCTTTGTTTCCCCATGCATTGTTCAAGGATCATTTATTATCACTCCATTGCCCTCGAGTTCGGATTCCATCGAGTATCAGGAACAAGAAACTAACGAGAAGATAGAGAACACGGCAACGCACATACCTACACTCGACAGAAATGAGATCCCGGCCTTACTATTCGACTTACAGGTCAGAACCTGTTCGCGAGTCCCGGTATGCACCGCCAGCCCATGAAATGCCCCCCAGGCTCTTTGTGGTTGATCCCCCTGACTATGAAATGGCCTCTAATTTTGCTCGAAGAAGATATGACCATAATGTCAGACTATCCGTCAATTTGGAAACGCGGCAGCCCCGCCGACCGAAACCGACACATGTATCCATAGAGACGCGGCAACCTCGCCGAACGCACAAAAACGTTCGGTTCGAGGACGCTGGTTTCGAATATGAAACCAGATCCCCGGCACAGGGTTCGCCGGGGGCCCCGTGGTCCCGGAATACCCGGGAGTATGATATTCGGTACCAGACGAGGGTACCGACGGTGGTCCACAGTGGGCTACATGGGGTGTCGAGCTCGGGACGGCGTGTGCTTAGATATGACGGAGGAGGGGCATGCCCCTGGTTCTAGCACCGGGTATTTTGGTTGATCCGGCCAGGCATACAGATATTGGTGGATGGAACCGGCCCCGTGGTTGTCGAGGCTGTCTTTCCTTCCATTTTTCAGCAGACTACGGGTTTAAGCCGGACTCGAACATTCTGGTTTTCCCGGCACAAGACTCGAGAACGACACTACCGATCCTAACAGGCTCTCGACGACTGTATGATTCGCATATGAGTTTTCTGACGGGATTGGGAGATTTGGGGCTTCATTTTTTGCGTCTCTGGAGTTTGGTTGGATAGATAGGAGTTCTCTTTTGTTTTCTGGGTGGTTTTGGGGGGGGACTTTTGTATACAGTCCATACATACATGTACATACACGGAGAGCCAAGGTTAAGGTCACATGTGGCAACTTTCTTATCTCCCTTTTTGCCTTCTCATTCTCCTTATTTCTCGACTCTATTGATTTATTTTGAATTGATTCAAAATATTCGATTCCATTTTCAGTCAATATTCAGATTCAAAGGTAAGTCTAATCTTTGGGTTAGAAATTAATGGTCAGGCTCTCATTCCATATAGAACCCCAACTTACCACTCTCACCCCACTATACGACTCTACAAAGAACCCCGTCATATCGCCTCCTAGTCCCCCTCTACCTCCCCCGTGATCGAGCCCGAGATCTCGCAATTTGAGCAAAAGTCCCAATAGAGGCCAGAAACCACTCATTGGAAAATGAAATACCCAGCCGGGGACCCACCATCCACCTCAAGGTCCAGGTGCGCTGTATTCGCAACCCCTTACCAAGCCCGCGCCTGCGCGTGGCAGTGAAAAGAATTATCCACACGCGCACACCATGGCCACCGCCGTAACACAAAGCACAACCATGTCCGTGTCCCAAGACACGAATTCCAACCAAAACGCAAACTCCGCGCCAACCATGCTGAAACTCGGCTCGCCGCTGGATAATATCGACCGTCACCAGCCCAAGGACGATCCTGATTCGTCGCAGACCCCCGCCGGCGTGTTTGATATTTCGCCCGAGGCTGCATTACACTTGCTTTGTTTGAATGTTGAGCGGCTAGGCGCTTACTATGCTCAGAAACCTGTCGGCAGCGATGAGCTGCATACGCAAGGCTCCACACCTCTGGGTTATGATACCCCTGCTGAGGAAGAGGTGAAAACTGTCGGGTTGCATGTTAGTGACTTGGATAATCCTGTCGACCCGGTGAGGGTGACGGAAGA